TCAATAAGTGTACAGATGTGATTTTTATTGTGTGATGTTATGTTTGGAACACCTGCAGTTTTAAGTATCATCTCTTCAACAATAATAATTATATAGTTTTTATACTCTATGACATACAGCGACAGAGTTGTATAGTCACTTCTTCAGATTAGTCTCGGATATTTCTCATGTACATGTATATTTAAGTTAGAGAATATATCTGACTGAAAATCATGTTAACAAGTATTAAGTTTCCAGACAGAAAAGCTAGAAATGATCTCTTAAGTGTTATAAACCAAAGCCATTTTTCACTAAAACACACAAAGATCCGACGCCTAACTGATTGAACTCTTTTTCGAACAGTTGATTGTCTAAAGGTTTAATGGAGAACTTAAAATGCCACAATTTCTTTGATTTGGGTCGCAAAAAGATCAAATGTCGATTTCATTGGATTGAATAAGTTGATCTCTATTATTAGTGGGATGACAATCTGCATTCCACAGTTGATACAGTGTGCCAAAATTGAAACTAATAACAATCTTTCAAAAGTAAAATTTAATCATATTAATCGAAATAAAACATCAGATCAACTTTATTATAACCTAAATCAAGGAGGTTTAATCTCTTTAAACAATCCTAATACATAGAAGCATTCAGAGTTAACCTGTGATCAGTTTAAGCTTCAGCATATGACAATACTAACAAATCTTCTGTTCTATGGTTTATACAATAATTCTATGGTTTATACAATAAGTAGTTTAAAATCCTTTTCTTCGTAAATGTCGCCATGATTTGTACTGAGACTACTTGAAAAATTCAGTGTCATAACAAAAGATGGTTCATATTTCTTCTATTATATAAAATATTCTGTATATTTGAGTGAATTGTGTATCGAAGGAGTCGTATTTCCCAGGCTATCTTCCTGGGCTGTTGAGTTGTATTGTTCGTTTGTAGGAACCTGGTACCTATTGTACACCACAGCATATATTATATTATGACACTACGCGTAACAAAATAGCTTTTCCTACCCATAACCTTTCTTCTTTATTTCCAATAGCTACCAGTCTTGAAAATATGTATTGCTTCATAAGAAAAGACCATTTGTGTCACCTATTCTTCACTGATCGCAATTAATTTGAAAAAATTATACACCTTTGTATTGTATTTGTAGCCAACACCCATGTTCTTTCACACCTGTGAATTGTATAGAGTATGTATTGTTAGAACATCATAATGTTCTTCAAAGAAAGATTTCCATGACCACTTTATATTGAAAGGTGGATAATATTAATAAAAATATATAATAGAAGATTATTTAAACTAATATAACATGAGGAATATGCCATGACAAACATTTTCTTAAGTTAAAGACACAATGCAGCAGTGTCCCAATAAACATTTTTCATATCTCGATGTAACCAAAATAAGGGCTAAAAATGTCTTTCAGACGATTACAACAAAAAAAGCAGATTTGCTTCCATATTCTTAGCCTCAATGTTCATGGATATTACAAGAAGTTAAAGATGGTGTTGAGAAATCAATAGAAAGTAGTGTCAACTTAAGAGGCCATAATATCGTTTTTGACCAATATATTTTTTATAATAACAGTACAATTTCACTGTATATTGTCTAAAAGTTTATATTTGCCACTTATTCTGAAATATTGGTCTTTTAATAACTAATTAACTTTGCTTTAAAAATACCTCAAAACAAAGCGGACAAAACAAGCCAACAGTGAGGCTGATGTACCCTGCCGAAATCCCCCCAAAAAACAGATGACACATATTAATCAATTGTACATTTATCTTTTTCAAAGGTATCGAGTAATCAAATTGATTATCTATGCTTAGTCTAAACATAAAATGTTCACTATTAAACTCAGGTTTTGAAGTACCTGGTAGTGAGTGAAACTATACACTATCAGAATCAAAGTTATCCTGTCCCAAAGCATCAACCAAAGAAATTGCTTAGCTCTGCTTAGCTTTAATGGGAAATATCAATCATTGAACTCAGTCAAGACATTCACCTAATGAACATCTATACCTCAGTTAAAAGCAGAAAATTCTCAATATCCAACTTAGTCAATGTATTGATATAATGAATCTATACTCAGAATTTCATCGATCTCACCCAATTAGAACCAAAGTTATTGTGTTCCAAAGTCTCAACCAATCCAATTGCTCATCTCTGCTTAGCCTTAGTGGAAAATGCACATGAACATACAATGTCAAGGCATTCGCGTAATAGACACCTACACCAATTTTGAACATTCTACCTCAATTAGAAGGAGAGTTATTGTGTTCCAAAGTCTCGATCAATCAGATTGAAGTCTCTACTTTGCCTAAGAAGAAATTACACAGCATCGAACCTTAGGTATTGATGTAATAAAACTATACATGAAGTTTCACCACTATCACTCAATTACAATTAAAGTTGTCGAGCTCCAAAGTCTCGACCAATCAAATTCCTTATCGCTTTGCTTACCCCGAGCTGAAAAAGCTCTCATAATCAAACTTAGTCAAGGTATTGATGTGATGAAACTATACACCAAGTTTCATCACTCTCACTTAATTAGAACCAAAGTTATCGTGTCCCAAAGCATCAACCAATCAAATTGCTTATCTCTGCTTACCCTAAGCAGAAAATGCTCATCTTTGAACTCCATCAAGGCATTCACCCAATCAAAGCCTACACCAAGTTTGAACATTCTACCGCAATTCGAAGGAGAATTATTGTGTTCCAAAGTCTCAACCAATCAAATTGCTTATCGCTCTGCTTACCCTGAGCAGAAAATGCTCATTATCAAACTTAGTCAAGGTATTGATGTAATGAAACTATACACCAAATTTCATCACTCCCACTTAATTAGAACTAAAGTTATCTTGTCCCAAAGCATCAACCAATCAAATTGAATATCTCTGTTTACCCTAAGCAGAAAATGCTCATCTTCAAACTCCATCAAGGCATTGGCCTAATAAACACCTACACCAAATTTGAGCATTCTAGGCTCAATTAGAAGGAAAGTTATTGTGTTCCAAAAAGTCTGACGGGCAGACAGGACGGACGAACCCATTTTAATACTCTCCTGCTTTCTTTGAAAGGTGGGGGACAAAAAATGATATTTATCAAAAGTACTGGTTATCTTTATTATGTCATTATTTTAATTCTGATAACAATACACTATGTCAACTATTCAAATTTATTCAATGCACCACTTTTTACATTTGCGGAAGACCTGTACATTACAAATATTGCTGGTGTTTTGGTTTCAAATAACATTATACAACTAAATTTAATCTTCAAGAAATACAAGCGTCCTTTGACATAATATGAGGCATCAGTTAATAAAATCTTTTATAATGTTAAAAATCATTAATAAGCCATATTTTGGTAAAGTTTGTGCTGAACTCCATCCAATTCATACGCTATTGTAATTTCCCTGAATAAATTAAATAGATATATAGTATAATATCTTTTAACACCCTTTCACTTGTCATCGCAGGGAGAAAACAAAAAACATGACACACCTTGAAAATATGGATGTGTCAATAATAGGTTAATTTGTTTGTACTATATAAAAAGTTAATTTAAATAAGATATTTTTAAGATGACTCTTTTCGTTCTTTTCAAGTCGCATTTTAAGGTTTCCAATGAGTTTCAATACATTACCACATGAACCATAAAGAGCAATGTTAAATCTAGCCTTTGTTAATACAAATAAATTTCAACCACAGAATTTGTAAAGCACTCTTTTCATAATTAAAATGTAAGCGTAGCAGCTTAGAATATAATTGTTACAATGTCCCAATATCCAAACAATAACAACACTTAAAAATAAACTAAATGAAAAAATTTCTTATTATTCACATTTAGCAGGGAAAAATATCAAGAATGAAGCTAAGCATCACGATATATGTGACATTTTAATTGTAGTTTTTTAATGTACAGTACCTGAAACATCATCCCTCTTCCTTGTTATTCACAAAAATCAATGAACTAAACATTGGATGGTTAAAATCAAATTACATGGTACTTCAAACTAAGGGGACATGGATATACCACATATAAATTGATGTTTTCTTTATCCGCTAAGTATTTAGACAGATAAAAAATTTAAAATTCAAACAATATGACTTCCCAATCAATACAAAATCTACCATGACAATTACTAATATTTTTTTTTCTTTGTCTTGTCATGGTTACAGACCATTATTTTGTGTTTCTTTGTCTGTAGGCCACAAGTTAAATTTGCATACTATGTACATGTATGCCTCTATGTGGCATTAGCTGTATGCATTTTATGATTGACGAACAATGAAATTCAGGAACTTCATAAAAGCATACATGCAGGAGATAACTAATCCCTCAAAATCAAAGATATATGAAGTCCTAAAGTAAACCTCTCTAGATAAGAGTTGATTAGAAAGTGTCTGTTTTCAGCTTATATAGTGTACAAATTTTCTGATATAACAAAATATGTAATATTATTATATGATACATGCATTTTGTTGAGTATATCATTTTTTGATAAAACTCATTCTATTAAGATCCTCACAGTAGACAATATACAGTTAGTTGTAATGGGCGAAAAGTGGATTATTGGAGGGTCCCAAAAATATGAGATCAATTCTATATCTAGTTTAATCAATCCCAAAATAATCCTTATTTCAACCTAACATTTGAAAACAGTTTTGGTCATTCAGAAAATCTGCCCTAAAGAACATTAGCAAATTTGATCATATATTCTATATATTATATAGTTTTGATGTCGCTACTGGTATCAGTTATGATGAGTGTCATGCACATAGCAGTGTAGACATACTTTCTGGAAGACTGGATACCAAATGGTCACTGTTCTCATCTGAGGTTTACAGTTTACACCCAATACTGTCCTGTGGTGAATTCACAAACTAAACAGCTAATGAAATAATGGACTTAGTCAGTTAGTTTAGCAATCATGAGCATTGTTGAGTTTTTGTGTTGTTTTTTGGTGAGCTGTTTTACATATTAGTAATAATTACCTCTGCTCCATAATGAAGAACTTTAGCGGCAGGGTGTAAAGAGATATTTTGTAAAGGACCTATGTGAGGTTTACCCCAACCTTTGTTTATAGACCACTCTACATGTAGCATATGGTCAGTAAAGTGATGTCCAAATAATAATTTTTCTGGTGTAGGTTTCTCTTGTGGATTGGTTGTCGTTGTAATTTCTAAGTCAGAATACTGAAAATAAAAGATTAATTAATACATTTTGCACAAAACTACCCAGCTTCTTTAATGCAATTATAAATGCTCACTGATCACTTTTGTGTCTTTTAATAAGAAATTTCATTTGAATAAGTCCATTCACATTCTTTCAAATGTACATGTATTGTGCAATGTTTCCATCAGAACTTACCTTAAATGTTCCTGGGTTGGAAACATTTCTAACAAACTTCACATTATGTCCATTTTTCAAATGATATGATATTTTATCAAAAACCTAGAAAATATGTTAAAATAATATTATAGTTACGTGTAGTATGTCCTGTAACCATAACAAAATTTACAGAAGGCCTACATATTTTTTTACAACATACAAGATGCTTATGGAAAATACAGGTAGATAATGATTTATAATACAGTATCATTGTGATGTAATGTGGGAAATGGACAAAAATATGATTCTACATATCTGAAGCCGTAACTAACTGGGTTGGCAATCAATGAACGATGTCGGGTGACATTGAGTCGGATTGACATTGTGAATGTCAAATTGACATTCCATTTGCCAATATGTATGATGTACAGTCAAGCAAACTGAACATCTACCTATCGATAAACTCTCTAGACCAATTGTATGCCCATTTAACAAATCTATTGTTTGATCTATAAATAAAAAGTAAGTTAAGAACAATATGCGATGGCATCATACATCCTGAGTGATACTCCGGGCTATATACTAGGCCTAATTACGACATTTAATATTTACAATCAACAAATAACTGGGTTAAAGCAGAACTATAAGATTAATAATACAATTATGGATGCTACTAATAGTATTAAGCAATACATCATGATATGAACTTCATATTCTGCAAGTTTGTATGGTGTGCATGATATAGCTTTCGTGTTATTTCACAAAACATTAACGTTATCTTATACCTTTCGTCCGATGGCCGCCATATTTGTTTCTATTTTCTACCAATGGGGAGATAATTCTAATTCTGTACTCTTAAAGTAAAGGGATCACACCACAATTCTTTACACACTTATGGCGGCAGAAGCACAGCATTAAATAGACCCAAGCCCCAACAAACGTCTTTTGCATGCGCCCATATACATTAGATGTAAAAAAATGTTCCTTAGGATTACAGTGATTCTTAGCTGAAAATGGACAGAACACTCCAGAGACTGGCCAGGTGGTGACCGCTGATTTTGGCCAAGGTCGTGAGGAACAGCACAAGGCCACAAGAACTAAAAATTTACACCTTTGGCGGGTGATAGAATGTCCTGACCCACCGTATATATTCGACACCGATTGAGGATTATGCCTATGATTACTACGTTGAAAGAAGCAATAAAACTTTTCGTGTAGCTACACGCGTTTCCACCGACAATAAAATTTTAAGGTCGACCGCTTTCCATTTAGCTACACGCGTTTCCATCGGCGAAAAAGTCAGTCTAATGCTAATGTAATGGGACCGTTTCCATGTAAGCGTTTCGCTTGATAAAAAAAAAATGCTCGATGAGCGACTTTTCCGCAGCGTTTAGGGAGCCACGGTGGCTAAGTGGTTAAGACGCTGGCTCGCTAGCCTTGAGGTCGCGTGTTCGATCACTGCGTTGACCGAGAAAGTTCATCGGGATTGTCCGGCGTTGTGTCCCCTTGTCAGTGGCAAAGGACGGAGGGCCTAATAAGGATAGCTGTCTAGTCGTTCGGATGGGATCATATGGCAGTTGGAATTCGATATCAGAGTAGGCCATAGTGCCGCTGCCCGGGCTAAATTTCCCTCATAGCACACTATGTGGCGTGTGGCCTATGCCCATCTTCATTAGACCACTTACCCACCGTGACCCCCGATGAAAAATAAAAAAAAGAACTTGGCAGTGAAAAATACTGGATACGAGAGAGAGAGAGAGAGAGGGGAGGGGGTTAACGTCCACTCAACACAAACTATGTCATTTCGGGACTAACATATGGTTCAATTTTATTTCCGTAATGTTTGTGCGTAGGGGTCCTTAGCAGTGGGTGGAAACCGGAGGATCCGGAGAAAACCCACGAGTTTGGACAAACGACCTTACCACGTACAAGCGGGGAATCGAAACCACGCCAATGAAATACATTCTGATCCAACGCGCACGCGTTAACCCCCCCCCCCCCCATTGTATACGTATGTCAAATAGGATTTACTTATGGGCTATTCTTGTGCTTTGGGTTGTCTTGGTTGGATATTGCTTCGAAACAACACACTACGCCCGTTTCTGCTATAAGAAATAAACAAACCAAAAAGACATACAGCGGAAAAGAAAATAATCCTGATTGTGTAGCCCTATTTTAAAATACGCTATAGTATAATAAAGTGATAATGGAATTAAATTGTGGTGCTATTATCTAGATTCTATAGTTCTTAGGCTATATTGGAATAGTTGTGCTAAAATTATCAATAAAATGGCACATTTTAACCGAATCAATTGTTGCCGTCCGTCTTCCTTCCTTCTATTCAAATATCCATCGGAGAGCCCAGCAATCTAGCTCGTTGAGTTGACTGCCCCTGGGCTGTGTTTCCAGACAAACTGTTATAACATTCTCTCAGACAGATACAAAATGTACATTTGTGGCTCAAAAGAAAGGATTTTGTCGATTGTGAAATAAGAGAGAAAATGAAAGGGCTTATCTGCAAGTAAAGTGGCCTCCTGAGCCATGGTCGGTTGTTATGATTTGACCAATATTGCTACTCCAGCAATAATAACGGGTCAATCTGTTGATAATATTGTTTTCATGTCCTTTGATATACATTTTGATCAAACAGGAAAAATTGCCAGGTTTTTTTCACACACCGTGTTATTATCACCAATTGTTTGACTATAACCTTTCCAACATAATAAAGAAGATTCACTTCTGGTCATTTCAAACCAATGATTCTCGAAAATATTATTAGATCCACTGGTTATAGAAAATCAGAAACCAAAGTCAAACTGGAAAATAAAACCGTAAATGATAATATTTTATAACCACTGCGCGTGACCCGTAACTCAGAATATTATAAAAATGCAATTTTGTTGCAAGCTCTCGGAAACTAGTTGGATTTTTGCTCCGTTGAATAATAGAGCATGAAAGAAGCCTCTAGGAATGTATAACAGTATACAGATTCTTTGCATTTAGAATTAAAACCAGTCAGGTCAATATTCACGGATTATCATACGTTACACTCATTAAAATATTATGTTATAAATTATAGATTCTTTGTTAAAGGCCACCCATTTGCCTTTAGAAATACCCATGTTTTGCCCCAGTGGTTAGGGAATACTGAAATAAGTATGTATACTAAAAGTTGAGTTATTGTAAACTAGAACACTGATCCCCTCGACTAAAATGTTTGTGGTTCGATTTCCGCGTGCCAGCAGGTGGTTTCTGAGAGTCAGGGGGAACCATTGTGATTTTTCAAGTTCGATTCTTGCACTTGACACAACTCATACAACTCTCAAGACCGGGACGTTTAATATATATCTTTAACCTCTCCAGGACTGTGATAATATTAATATTAATAAACTGCACCATTTGAACCATACGACAGTGTTGGCGAGGTTTCAAGATTGAAGCTGTGTTACCACGGAAGTAATTGTCGAAAATCCTTCAAAATAAATAGCTACCGTCTCGGTGACAATCGTGACTTTTACCATGATAACGAAAATTCGAAGATCAAGGGATACAACTTCAACAATTTAAGACATAGTTCAAAATCATTTATGAATTTTCCCTCCAACGGACATTTTCCCCTTTTAACCAGTCGCACAATCTACTCAAATTTCAAAAAGATGTCTAGAGTGATAAACAAAAAAGTCTGAACGGACGGTGGACGGATGCACCTTCAGAGCGAGACTATGATAATTATAGCAGCTATAGAGTCAATAAGGACATATTACAAAGGGACATAACGCTGGATAGTGTAAGTAATCAATAAAAATCAATAGGCCTCTTCCGTTTATGTAATTAGACCAATGTGTATATACACTTCAAATTAGTTGGATGTTAATGTAGTCTCCGTAGCCTAAATCATTAAAACTTCTGGTTCATTTAAGCAAGTATTTATATAAATTTCCAAAAGTAATTCCAAAAGTTAACGTTGACATTTTTTTATAATCAGGCAACCTATTTAATTCTTAAACATATATTATTATCAGATGATTAAAATGTTGGCGTATAAAAACTGACATATTAATTGCTATACTTTCATTTAGACAAAACACCAAAACAGATTATCATGAACATATTTCTATACTTATTTTCAGCTTCAGTGCAGATTTAAGGTAAGTTCGGGCACTTTTCTTAGTGACTCCTACTTTAATGATCGCCTTCTCCCAGACCAAACAAGACCATAATGCTATGTAATAGCTGATAACACGCATGAATATTTTACATACGTATATAATACACTAGAGTGCATATAATACACTACTTTAATGATCGCCTTCGAATCTCAGAAAATGGTTCGATTGTGCACAAAATTGTACTCTCCACATTTATTCTCCCAGACCGAACAGGACTATATAACGTTATGTCATGGCTGATAGCACGCATGTATATTGTACATATATAAGAATATAATACACTAAAATTACCCCCATGCAGGACAAATGTGGTGGAAATTAAGAACCGAGGAGGTGAGAGGTTAAATTACTCATTGTTACAACACGATAACCGCCCTAAGATCGGAATATCCCAATCTCCGTTTAATGGAGAATTTTTCAAATTTCTAACAATGCACATTACCGTTTGAAGCATATGTTATGAACATGTTGCTTCAAGACCATAGACTAAAATGGTTATTCCATATTGTCTACTATTGTTTATAAGTTCTGTACCTTTTATTTAACTTCCGTTTTGTGTTCCCAGAACCGTTGGAAAATCTGTGTTCGTCCATTTATTACATTTGGATAGGAATTTTTAATGTTGACTTAGATTTATTATACAAACATTGTAAATTGTAGTTATACTAACAATATACTGACTGTTACCCAACTCTTAAAAAACTATAATAGGACTAAAAGTATGCAAATTCTATATGGTAGTGTTTTACTTTTCACAAGAACCTCATTGAAAACACATTCTACCATTAGAGAAATACCGCAGAAAATTTTATTGAAGTGGATTTTTTCCTTTACGCCCACATTTAAATAAAAAGTGCAATGGTCCTACATAATCCATACATATGTTTTGTTTATTTTTTCCAAGTGAAACTAGACGTTGCCATTTCATGTTAGACTATGTTATGATGACAAAGTATGGTCTAACCTGTTATTAACTTTATTTTAGACAATTAAACTAAAATTATTTTGAATACAAAGTAATTATATGTTATTTTTTATCGGGCGGGGTTTGGGTGATCGATAGTGATCATTAGGGTACATGTAAATGCAGATGCTTTAAACTGGGGGTGTGGACACTAACTGTCGATAGTGATCATTAGGGTACATGTAAATGCAGATGCTTTAACCTGGAGGTGTGGACCCGTCGAATAGGATCAGTTCTGTAGTGGTGGTGGTGGTTGCTCTTAATCATTTGAAACGAGCAGATAGCAGTTTTTATATCATGTGTTTGTCAGATCAAGTTTTGGTCTATCATAAAATCACCCATTTTGGGAGTTATACATGGTGGTGGCGTTGAAAGGATCAGCAAGAATATAAATCATAAAGTAGTACAGAACATAACCGAGCCTTCATTACGTAATTTCAACAGCGGAAATCAGGCCCGGCGGCGTGTGGGGGTGGGGCTAAAGCACCCCCAATAATTGGCCGCAAGTACCCTTTTCTCCAGGTTATTTCACGCAAGTAACCATTCAAATAGACACAGTGACGTAACTGGAAGAGACTTGATTTTAACATAGAAGTAAGACTTCTAGAAGTAGAAGGGTCGCGATTAGTTAACTTTACTGAGCAGTCGAATATTTTATTCCATCTCATTTCCGTTGTTTCGA